TTATTATAATCGCGTCATATTTGAAATTTGTGAAAAGTTTCATCGCATCCGCCATAACAAGACTGCGAATGGTCCAGAAAATCTGTTAACTATAAGTTCATGAGATATGAAAAAAAGACGTTTGTTTTGGAAGCAGATGAATTTCTTGACGGTTTTGCGCTTTGTGCAAGTGGAATTGGGTTTAAAAAAAGGTAAAGACAAGTAGAAAAATCAGATATAATAAGAGTAAAAGCCCTACTTGTTCCCGTCTTTGATACCATCGACAAAATTCCAAGCAGCCTTTTCTGCTAGGGTTTTACTTTTCGCATAATATTCGACAGTGGGACTGGTGACATCCGTCCATGAAGTCTCATCAAAAACTCTATTCTGTGGATGTCCTTCTAAAATTTAAGTTTCATGCCAAGTAACAGTAGTCTCACCTTGCGTAGAGCACAAAAAAATCGAAATCTCAGAAAGGAAAATTCAGAATTATTTTGAATGAGCTATACCCACCGTTGACAGCAGCGCAGCTGCTGGTGAGCACAACTTTTTTCACCGACGGTTCTTTAGAAGCTGCTCTGAGGACATTCAATGTCCCATTAACAGCAATATCAATACATTTAGCATCAGCAACAATAGGAAAAGGTGAAGCGATATGTAGAATATATTGACATCCAGAAACAACGCTGAAATATTACAGTATACGCTCAAAAAGTAAGGCACAGAAAGATGTAACAATATAATGCATGTCGTGTAACTGCACCAAACACGCAAATTCCTAGAAACGCGCACGCATAGCTATACAAGATAGTTTTTATTATTTTTGAATAGTTGATTGCCTGATTTGCATTGAAGAGTAATGTGCAGTTACACCATATTTACCTCGCCCATCCGTCTGGCTTCAATAGATCAGCTTCTACAAGCTCCAAACGGTCATCTTGCTGTAATTGCCGAATCGGCCCCACCTGCAATAGGTTTTTCATCTCTCTTTTCATAGAGGAAAAAAGCGGGTGGAAAAGGAAACAGGAAAATCTTCTCAAACAAAAATGAACTTTACAAAAGTACTTGGAGAATTTAGCATTTTCGGTTATTAATTAATACCTGCCTTTTTCTCATTTTTTAAGCTTCGCACCGTTCCTCGAACTCGATAGCCTTCACTAAGGAGCAGTTTAACGCAATGTGAAGCAATGTAACCCGATGCGCCAGTTACTAACACCACTG